AACTTCAGAAATAAACTTACCAATTAAACTTAATGGAAAGTAAAATGGCACAGGAAGGTCCTGGAAAAATTCATGAATTTTAATCGCCTTGATTGCAAATCCGATGTGGTTAAAAATAATATTTTTATGATGGTGATAAATTTGTAAATGCAAAGAAAAGATCAAAATTTAAATTATCTCTGAAATTAAAAATAATTATTTTCTCTTATAGTGTATTTATAATAAACCATTTTCACTTCTAAAATGCAGTTAACTTACAAAATTTAATTAATGAGTTGTCAACTTAGGGGGTCCCCCTATATTCTATTGGTCCAACGGCAGCCCTCTGTTGGGCCTTACCCACTGATTGTGCATGTTTCCCTTTCAACATTTGTTTGTTATTTTACCTGTAGGAAATAGGCATAGTTAACGCAAATCGAGGGAAGAGTTTGGAAGATTCTGTTGAGTACACCAAAACTGCACAGCGCGTGGTTTTACCAGTTTTGAATCATTCATCTTGGGGCCTTTTAAACATAATTCCAGAGTACATTACAATGGATATAAATAATTATTCTCTGGAAGACACACAACTGATGAGTCAGTATTATCTTTTCTGTTAAGAGGCTATAACTCAATACTTAGGAGCAGTAACAGTGATTTAATATTTAAAACTGAAATCCATGGGCAGTGAACTATTATAATGACAGCTTCTTTAACAGATGAGCGTCGCCTAAGACCGCATCGCTCTCCACTAAATATTCTTCCACCAGTCAGCTGTGTAGCATAAATAGCTGCCCGCGGGTGACTGAATTTTGTTGTTAAACGTAATTTTGATCATGTGGAGGTTAGAAACAGTTTTCACGAGAGATTAATTTAATTCCGTCTCATTAATGATGAAAAATTATACTAAGTGATTCAAAACATTTCGAAATACTGTTGAGAACATGTGTGATTGATTGAATTAAGCCATCAGATATAGAAAGAAATGGAATATACTAGCCAAAGCTCCCACGATAGTGGCTAGTAAAAAACTCTCGAATTTCTGCCAGTACTTTTCGATCTTGACGTGTTCAGAAGATTCAAATTAATGTGTGCTGTATATAATTTGCATGTTCATGACTATCTTGCTCTAATTAAACTAATTTCAAATTTTTCCCGTTTTCTCATCTTATGACTGACATCCATGTATCAATTATTGAATCATCTGACTACAAGAATATGGTCTAGTTAATTGTAATTCATCTGGTAATAATACTTAAAATACTATAATTTGTTAACAGTGATGCTGGTGAAAACAAAGCTTAATTGACATGTTAGACATGTATAAATTAAACATAAAAACTTACCATATAATTTGCTAATTTTCTTTCATAATTCTTGGATTCTCCTGTTGTACATCTTGGAAAACTTTTCACACCACAATCAAAGATTTCTGGTGGGAAAAAGGGGTACATGTTAGTAGATATTCTGGAGTACTGTTTGGCAGAATTCTCAGTTAATTCAATTGATCAGTAACTTCAGGTAAATTGCTTAAATATGGAAATAAATTCTGTTCTTGAAATTAAGATAAAAAATGAGTTAAAAACGTCTATAAATTATTGTACTCATCTGTCATTCAAAGGATATTGAATAATATATTCAAATTAATGAAAGATGAATGTTTTTTCATGGTCACTGTGCAAGTTTTAGCCTTAGAAATGAAAATTGAAATGTTTCATACCTTCAATAACTTTATTACATAATATAAAAGTCAATTAGAAATTAGGTGAAAGGTAACATAAAAAAGCAAACGTATAAGTGAAGAAATAATTCCCTTTATTTGCATGATTATTTATTTGAAGGATACATTTCTACCAAATCCATTTGAATTTCAATAAATTTTATCCACTTAGATAATTTAAAGTCAAACTATACAAAATCAAAATGAGTTTCCTAAGTCCTTTTAGAAAATATTCACAACCTACTATTAACATCTCCAGCCTCAGCCTACCACATTTGCCAGGGTAAGGAGTAAAAATTTTGAAATAAAAATTATATTTTAATTTTTACAAAGAGGATAAAACAATGAACGATGTATGTATTGCATCTTCTTATATGACAACACTTTATTGGTTATCAAAGGAGTCCTAGCAGCCTATTTTGATAATTTTAATAATGTATTGCATTAAGATGTACAATACGAGAAACTGACATACTGTGATTCATATACATAAAAAATTAACTTCATGTAACTGAAAAACTTCTTTCTTTTAATTAAAAAGTTAAAATTGTACAATAATTACTAAAAAGAAATTCCAAAGGAAGTTAACATGTGCAGACATCATGAAGTGTCTAGTTATATCTTCTGAGAAGTACACCTTAAAAAACACCTACCCATAAGGAGGGCAAAAAGCTACATTACTTTTGGGAAGCAAGCCAAGGAGCGTTTATTTCAAATGCATATTTATTTCAGTAAGCCTAGATCAGCTGGAAAACAATACAGATTCACTATTTCACCTAGAATGTAACCACTTACTTGCCCTCGATGGAATAATACAAACTTTTAATTCTGCACCTGAGGAGAACAAGAGTTATGTCAAATCTTTTTACAAACCTATGAAAGATACTGCATTAAACATTAAACATATACTGACCATATCTCTCTTAAGTAGACACCAGAGCCCAGGCATGGGAACAGCACGAGGAATGTTATCATCATCAGAGTCATCCTGAATATTTACTATGACAGAAAACCCTGAAGCATCCTGCCTAACTTCTACTTTCCAATCTTCTTCTATAATTTTCTCTATGTATGTCACATAATTCTTCCAACTAAAGCAATGTACAGAATGAATAAGTACTTTATATTAACAAATTATCTGCAAAAAGACTCTAGACAATATTTTGTTTTTCATTTTAATATTCACTTACTTCTCCACTGAAACCTGGTTGAATGCTTGCTTCCATTCTCTTGTCACTGCTTGGTGGTCAAAAGTGGTTCTGTGATGTCTCTGATAATATATTTTGCTCTGGCTCCATACCAACTCGATAGGATTGTAGTGACAATTTGTAGGGGGGGGGGGGCGCAAAACTCTTATGTCCAGCTTCTTTAATCATTTCATCTACAACATATCTGCACCCACATCAACTGGTGTACTGTCCCCTGTGTCGACGATCTCACAAAGGTTCAACAGGCTGTGGAGAAGGGCTCTGCAAGCGCCCCTCTCTGGGGGTGCCAGGTAAAAATACACAAATCAATCATAAACACACAAAACTGTCCTTGAAACTCAGGCAAAAGGCCTGCCCGGGGCCCGCCAACAAAAGAGAAGTCCTGTTAGCTGCACCTCTGTTTTCTGTAGTGAACTCTCCAAATTCTAACTGAACATAGAATGCGTACATTATTAACTTTTAAAAATAGTAACCTTGAATATAGTTCAACAATGTTTTATCACTATAAAAAAATATTTTTCATTGAACTTTCTCCTTTGTCGGAATGACAATACATTAGGTTGTTTCACAGTGCCACGACATGTTAACCAACGATCGTGAAATGAAATCGAATCATTTCTGCTTGTTAATCACTGGGCCACACCTCCAGGCATGATCCATGTAGTATGGCATGAGTGGCTGTCAAAAAAACCGGTCACATGACTGAACGCTCTGTAGCTCCCGGCTGACAGGTGAGAGGAGGTTTTGCTATCCAATCAGAGGCTTGAAATTGTGTTGATGTCACTGAAGAGTTGCCAATTCTTATTAAGAAAAACTGAAATCTCATAGTGCGAATCAACTGTAAGTTTAAGAGTGCCATTACTTCTTTGGTTCCATCTTGCGTGCGGTTCTGAGTCATTTACTGTTGTGTGCTCTTATTGTTCTTTGTTTCTTGCTAGTGTTGTGATGTAATGCAAGAACGATCATATGACCAAGAATCTGGTGCTAGAGTAAGTGACATCACTCTACCCCTATCCCAGCTGTCAAGACAAATATTATTCAGACAATAGACTCACAATTATATAAGATAATTGGGACCAAGTATTGTGGAATTTTTGGAACCAATCATTAAACAGACAGTACTTCCAGGCCTCTCTACACAGCACTGGTACATAGAATAAAATATTGAAATACGCGTCGCAACCTGACGTGTGCGACCGTCCCATTACAAAATACAGGACAGAAAATTAGAAATTTGAAATGTTTTAGAATATTAAGTTACAAAAAGAACAATCTAAAGTGATTGCGCAGCGACATGGCTGGAAGTTTTTGTGTACGTTACATAGACCAAGAACTGACAATAACAATTATTGTTGTCATCACTGATTTAAAAAAGTATACAACATTTTGAATCCTAAAGATTCATATTCTTCTTGAGGTATATTTCTATTAACGTTAAAAACAATAATTACACTTGACAGAATATTATAAAAAAAAGTATAAAAGTTATTAAAAACAAAATTCATCTTGAGACAGCTCACCGTTAATTCCGAAATAATTCTCTGATGGATATGTTGGGTTTGAAATTCACCCAACACGTTCCATGATATCCGTATAATCTAATCGTGGGAGTGGACACAACAATGTCTGTGTGTAACTGTAATTTATATTAACTAAACTATTTTGTATATCTATTGTAATTTATTGGTAACTAATTGTGCATTGAAAGTATGAAGAGAGTATAAATTGTTGACTGTGGTGGGATTTTAAAAAAAGGGAGTATGTGTATATATTTATTTATTTATTCTGACATCTTCATTTGTAAAAAGTAATCATCTTTGACCCCTGCATATATCCAAAAAGTTTGTAACATTTATTGTGAGATACTCTTGTCATGTCCAAGGATGAGTATTGAAAATGTTTATTCTGTTCTTGTTAAAATTTTAATTTTTGGCTCAGCTCTTGTTACTTCTCATTTTAGAACTAAACTTTTTTCATTCATGCCACAAACCAGGTTGAATTCATTGTTCTTTGGGAATGTCTAGTTTAAAAAAAATAAAATTAACAAAATTTGTATTATTCACATAAAATTACAATATTATTTTTTTTTCCAGTCATCTGCGGGAAGTTGCATACAAGTTTCTTGAGAGCTGGGTAACAAGAGCAAAAGCTGCCTCATGTGTTGAACTTATTTGTGAAGATTTAATCACCATGATGCTTCAAGATGTTTATCAGAAGAAGGAATCTGTTACATTGCAGGTTACTTTTCATTTTTAAATATTGTTATATATAAGCAACAGAAGGTATTGTAATAAAAAAATGTAAAATTTGTACATATGTATATATGTACATACTTTGCATTATATATTTATGAAACAAAATATGTAAGATCAAAACGCGTGATAGTGTTTAAAATTGCCACATACAAGGATTTTCAAACATTAAATGCCACCGTTCAGACTTTAAAATCAATTAGGAGGAACTGAATGACCTTTCCACTCCACAAAAATAATTGAACGCTTTAGCAAATTATTACATTTTTAAATGAAATATAAAATATGTATGTAAAATATACAATGTGGTCTATGAGAAGCAATTTCTCACTGCATAGCTAGTGAAAAATCAGGGAGGTATTTAGGGAAACCACGTTCCCCATAAAATCAACATTGTTTGTGTTGCATCTGCAGTGTCATTGACCAGTCAGATGTAGGGTTCAGAGACAAAACACAGTGCAAGTTTTCGTCTCTAGTTAAATTGTTGCGTAAATAATCACTATATGGGAGAGAATTCTAGCGACTGGCTGCTCTGAATGATTGTTTTCTATGGTTTCTCTGAACAATCCTTAGTGAATTGTAGAGGTGAGTACTTTAAGAAACAGATCACAGACCATGCATGAACTTTCCTTCCTCATTCTTTTCTTGTCCTCTCCCAGTCCCTTGTCCACCAATAGTGTGTTCCTCAATATTGAAATCAATAATTCTCATAAGTTTTTGTAATTAATGTTACCCAGCAGTGAAAGTACAAATGTGTGGAACTGAATGTAGAATTTTATCTACGGTGGCAGTGCTTTCTATTTTGCTTCAAACTGTGAACAAAGGGATGTTTAAATAAACAGAGTTAATGGGATCAGTTTCAGGAGAAAGGAAAAACATCTTTAGAAAAGCAGTTGCCACAAGTACGCCAGCAACTGGTAAATCCAAAGGTGAATTTTGGATCTTGTGCAGCTGCATTGCGGGCTTTGAGTGCAATTATTGAATCTTCAGGAGCACTGCTTGGTACCAACTTACATATGGTAAGTGAATATTGTATTATTCTTATGATCAGAATTATGCAATTGTCCTTTGCCAGTATTAGAAATAATATTTTAGGAGAGTATCTTTTTCATACTTTTTTGCAATACAATTCAAGCAAGTTTTTTTTTAATCTAGTAATTTTCTTATAGATTGTGAGATTTCAGTTACTACTTAAATATTGCCCTGTAAATAGTGTGTGGATCGTGCTATAACATCTGTTGCAAGGAAACTTCTGATATTTATCTTCTAATTTTGTAACTAGTTTGAAGATGAAAGGGTGATTACAAGTTCCTTCTCAAATTTAACTCTTTTCTTGTTAATTTTTCTTACTTAAATCTTGTAAGAGCATTTCTTTAGTTTAAATCTGACTACAGTTGTCTGTGTATCAAATTGCACTTTTATTCTTGTTAGTGCATTGACTTGATCCCTTTCTCTTAGAATAGTCTGAAAAGTTGACTGACGCTATTTTTGACTAACACTGTGCATTAGTAGTAAGGCTGAAGTCCCTCATTCTTGTTGTATCATCATATATCATCCTGAATAATGAAACTAAAATGATCCATTGTATTACACCTTTTTAACTTCCAAAACTAGAATGTTCATCTTTTCATGAAATTCAATGCCACAAGAATAGAAGAGCATATCAGTGAATATGGGTGAATGAAATGTACTTTTTTTCTTTCATGACCATTATCTGTTTTCTGTCATGATTGTGTAGGGGTCAGTAGTACTGTTTGTGGGAGCTGGTTCAAAAAATGAAGAATCTGTTTTCTTTTGTTAGCGATTGCAAGAAGTTGTGGTTACCCTTCTACTGGAAATTAAATTGTGTTCTGGACCCAAAGAAATGCCTGCCCCATATAGTGTAGCAGGCTGCAGAATGCAACTGTTCAGACTGCTGTTGGCTCTCACTCTTCACCCTCATCCACGATGGCCACCTCCAACACAGTTCTCTCTGGCACTTTTCTCACTGGGACAAAATGATAGCTCTCTTGAGGTAAGACGACATTCCTGTATCCATATCATTAACCTGTTTTCAAAAATGGTTTGATGAACTGAGGGTCTGGGTCGGTTGAGAGGGGAGAGGTTTGTAGTCAATTGAATTGAATTTGACAGGTCGTGGACAAAGACAGGGTTCATCTCAAGTTTTTGTAGGAAAAAAGTAATTTTAACTCATTTTCATTTTTATATCCTAAGTAAAATATAATTATATTAGAAATCAGTGCTTGTGAAAACTTACGAATATTACACATTTGCTTCTCAATTAAAAGATAAATAAAGTAATGTACCAATGACTTCATTTACTTATATTGAAATTGAAAAATAATAATTTTGAGTTTTTTTATTTTAAAATATGTTGTAATTTCAATACTTAGTACTTCAACTCTTGCATTACTGGGGAAGATTCAAAGGCTCACTGATGTGGTTTGTTTATTTTTATTTTTAAATAAAGGTTTCAATATTTTAGGAAGCTGGTAACTTTTGATGTGCTATCTGTACAAAATGTGATGCAATGTGTCACAAGCTCTTGTTATAATTTTAGTTTTGACAAAATTTTTGGCTGCAAGTAACAAGAAAATTCCGAACTTGGACATGAAAACTAAACATATACATTTTGAAAATATTTGTAGTATTTAGAGTCGTAATATGAAATAATGACACTGAACATTCAGGATACATTCTGGAAAAACTTATAGTATAATTATTAGTATAATATCGTTTAATACTATGTTATGATGATACATCAAACATCAAATGAGAAAGTTGCTTTTTTTCATTTGCAGAGCCAGAAATTGAGTGATGTTTTTTGTTTCAATAAATACACTGCATATTATTAATTAATTTAACAAAATCTTTAAAAACATGGGTAAAATTAAAATTTAAGCAGTGGGGGTCCAGATCCTCCTCTTTTCGGTAATGCACAGGACCAGTTATACTTAGGTAATAGAATAAATTTCAAAATGTTTTATTTGCATTTTATTTTGATTTTAATATTGAGGATGAGAAAGTTGTATGTTAAATTTTGCCATTATGTTGTTGTGGAGAATTTATTATTTCACTTAAGGATTTGTGGTCAGGGTTTTGTGCTGAGAAAGGGTAAGTTTGGGAACCATTGCTGTAGACCTAGGTGGCACAGATAACTGTGGTCCCAAGTGTACTGGACCACATTAGGGCTTACGAGTTTTAATTCCTCATGTTTTGTGAAGTAATTGGTGGTTGAAAGGTAAGAAAAAAAATGATTGTCATTCATGATGCTTCATTGTGAATTTATATTTGCTCGGGAAGGCCAAGTACCACATTTCATGTGAAAATACTTAGTTAACTTGACCTTTCATTGAAAGTTTTAGAGTTTTTCTTTTAACCAACAAGTCACTGCTAGTAACAAAGTGGTAATGTCTCTCACTTTAATATCCCTTTCCCATTTGTTTATATTTTTAATAAGTGAAGTTCTTTTTCTGTTTTGTAGGTTGCAGGCTTTTGTAATTTAGCCGTGGCATGTATCCGTCAGATGGTGCACCCTTCTCAATCCAGCCATCAATTTCCAATATCAGTAAATGAAATGAGGGCATCAGTTGGTCTTTCTAATCTGGAAGTGGTGCGAGGCCTTAATCTGACAATCCAGAAAGGACAAACCAAGATTGCAATTGAAACAGACCTGGGTTTGAAATCTTCAAATACTGAAAATTCTCAGCAGACTCTTTGTCCAAATCGATCTCTCAAAAAGAAACCTTGTAAATCATTCAATGAAGTGTCATTAAATGACTTTGGGTCAAGCCCTAACACTTCCATTGATACTTCTAAGCCTCCCAACAAGAAATCTCGTATATCTTTAAATAAAGAATCGTTAAATGGAATTGAATTGAGTCCTAAGACTTCTAGTGACACTTATAAGCCCCCCAAAAAGAAACGTCAGTCACATTCAGAAATAGACATTGATAAAAGGCTCAGTACAGTTTCTGATAAAACAATTAAAAAATCAAATCATTTACAATTTACTGTAGAGGAATTGGTTTCTTCAGCAGATAAGACTACATCTTCAAATAGAGGGCAAGGCTGGGAAGTCACAAATGTTATGGAGGTGAAGGAGAAACCAATTGAAAAGAAATTTGACAAATCTACTAAATCTCTTGAAACTTCAGTAGGAATTAAGCGGGCTCATGATAGTCCAAAAGATACAGATAAGATCACCAAGATCAGGAAACTTAATGAGTCTCCCAAGAAATTTGGTGGATTAAGTAATGAAGCTCCTTGTGATACTTTACCTAATTCAAATACAGCTGCTAACTCAGAAAGTACTAGCAGTATCAAATCAAATGTTGCAGTTACTGATGCACACATCAATATTGAACCAAATATTACAATAACTGATGCTGATATCAATGATGAACCAAATGTTACAATGAATGAGGCAGGTGCTAATGTTGAGACAAGCATTACAATAAACATCCCTGCAAAGAAGAAATCTGAAAGTTGCATGGTCAATGAAGAAAAAACTTTAGAAGAGAAGATACTGAAACCAGAGGAAAATAAGGGAGAGACTGAAGCTGAAGTTGTGGAAGTAGCTCAACATGAAAGTAAAAAGAGAGAATGTGAAGACCATTCCACCAAAACTAAGGACAGATTGTCCGATCAGAGTCCTTTGAAGAGTTCTCTTGACAAAAGCGATTGCTCCTCAGTCAAAGATAAAGTTGAAGTCAAAAGTCCTACAACAAAGCCTCATACTGTTTCAGAGTGCAAAAGAAAAGAAGTAAATTCAAAATCTCCTGATGTTTCAGACTGCAAGTCTAAGGAAGTTAATTCAAAGTCACCTGTTTCAGACTGCAAGTCTAAGGAAGCTATTTCAAAGTCACCTGTTTCAGACGCCAAGTCTAAGGAAGCTATTTCAAAGTCACCTGTTTCAGACGGCAAGTCTAAGGAAGCTATTTCAAAGTCACCTGTTTCAGACGGCAAGTGTAAGGAAGTTATTTCAAAGTCACCTATTTCAGGAGGCAAGTCTAAGGAAGTTATTTCAAAGTCACCTGTTTCAGACGGGAAGTCTAAGGAAGTTAATTCAAAGTCACCTGTTTCAGATGGCAAGTCTAAAGAAGTTAATTCAAAGTCACCTGTTTCAGACTGCAAATCGAAGGAAGTTAATTCAAAGTCTCCTATTTCAAACAGTAAATCTAAGGAAGAAAATTCACCAAAAATAGCTATTCCAGTTATAGAACTCCTTCACAGTAGTGATTCAGAAACCGATCAGAAAAAGAGAGCTTCTGGAGCAAACAGACGCATAACTCGCAGTCTAGCCAAACGTACTTCTACTCCTCACCGAAATTCAGAGCAAAGAGTGTCTATAGAAGAACTTCCTTGCTCTCAAGATACCTTTGCTATCAATGAAATCAGTAGTTTGGAAGAAGAATCTTCGTCAGCAGGTGTAGATCCAAGTATAGAATTGGCAGAGTCTGATGAATCTGTTGTCATGAACCTTTGTATTGAAAGTGACAGAGAAAGTGTAGACATTGTGGATATCACTAATAACAAAATAGATGATGAAGCTTCTGCTATCAAAGAAAAAAATGAAACAGAAATATCGGTAATAAAGACTTGTCCCTTAAGTAACCCCAATACTCCAGGCTCAAAGAACCTGAAGGATTCTGTGACATCTGACCGTGAAATAGAGGAAGTCACTGAAGAAATGGAGGCAGTTATGGACTCTCCAGATGTTACTGTAGATGATGTTTCTGCTTGTAGTGACAAAGAAAATACTGCAAAGAAATCAACTAAAGAAACCGAGGAAGATGGTAGTGGTTCAGAAACAAATGAAGAGGAAATTCTTGCCTCGTTTGTAGATGCTCTTCAACCCAACTCAGAGTAGTGTTTGAAATTAATTTCTTCATGGGAGATGTTCATTTTAAATATCCATTCTTCTCAGAATATGAAGTATGTGTGTTTGTCAAATATATTCCATATACATATTTGGCATATTGGATGGTTTCCTCAGCACTGTTCTCATTAAAATGGAAAATGAATTAGCATTTGTTCTGGTAAGAGATTGAGAATGAACTTGATTTTCTGAGCAGCATGGTTGGTGTGGACCATGAATATATTTCAGTGAATTGCGTGGTCGATCATCTTACTATTACAATTGTAGTTCTGTTAATGTTTAACATAAAATGATGTGAGAATGGAACTGCAAAACATGGGCAAAAATAATTGCATACATAGTCATCTTAAAAGTAAAAAATAAATAAATAAAAAGCAAATAAAATTACCTAAATAATTTGTATATTTTTAGGTTCCTTTATAACTGTAATAAATCAGATCATGAAGAATATTGTTAGAAGTTGTATTGCAGCTGTTACAATGGTTTCCTGTGGGTCAAATTTTAAATTACTTTTTGGTGTTAGTGCAAGAACACTTCAAGAGATAATTGTTTTTGGAGAAAAGTAAGCAATTGCACTCATACACTCCATTTGTACATTTCTTATCCCAAAAGTGGTGTAATTCAACCTCTTTGCTTTCATGTAAGTAATGAAATGAAATAGTAAAAGATAATTATATTTTTGTTTGTAATGTAAGTTATGATGTTCTGAAGTAAATTTGTATGAATGAATGGTTTTTCTTCAATTATTTTTTATAGTGATATGCATTTTATATGGAAATGCAATCAGCGAAATCTCATTGCAAAAGTTGCTGTAGAGTTTTTGCACAGCATGAAGCACCTTACCATCCACATTTGAGTCTCTGCTCATGCATGTTACACTAAAGTGATAGCAGAAAATGCTATTCCAGATCAGCACCAACACAATATAGTTAGCAGCTAATTGCGGCAAGTGTGAATCAAGATTTCTTTTTTATTTAGTGCACATTGCTGATGCAGTTCAAAACCTGGTTCACTTAGAATGAAAATCTTTTTACACTTCACACGCAACTAGTTACATGATTGCCTAACAAAGTTTTATACTTTGCTATGTGCAAACTGTACCCATTGTCAAGCACTGCAAGCTTGCTTGAGGGGAAAAATGTTCAAAAGAACTCATTAACACAAAACAGAATTAACAAAACAATAAACTATTTCCACTTGTAAAAAATATTTTATTCAGCCGAGTAATCAAATTTACTTATTAATATTAATGTCATGCAAAAATCAGCATTGATTGTTAGCAACAAATTTGTCACAAAGAACTTCACATGAATCTCAATTTAAAAGACCTATTTATACCTACTGTATACTGCACATATTAATTATATTAATAGTTTTCTTTGTACATTGTCAATCCCTTGAATATTTTTTAATCGAAGAGGCGTGGTATGCAAATTATAGAAACAGAAAATTTGTGCAAAAGGAAGATAAAAAAGGATTATCACTTTGAAAAGAATTACAATATTAGAAGTTACCAGAACCCGCCCCCCTCCCAAACACGCACACAACTTGAGTTGTAGCACTTTGGAACAAATTAACTATATAAGAAAAAATACAAGAGAGAAATCAAATGTGATCAGCTTTAAAATTGAATTATTCTTATTGTCTGATGAAGAGAAATGGCATTGACAGAATTTTATTAATTTGGTTGGCAATAAAACATTTGTATTCAATTGTGCTTTATTTCTCAATCAGTCAGTCATCTGAAACTTTTAACATTGATCAATAACAATCTACAACTATCGATTCTTACTAATACTGCAATTACATTTCACACACACACACATATATATATATATATATATACATACAGAAATGCACCGACAAGGAAGTACTTTCAAAATAGTTACTTAAGTTTTATCAAATTACAAAACATCACAATCTGTCGAGCATACATGATTGCAGCTGCACAGTAATTGAATAGGAGTACATTATTTAAGTAACAAGATTTCCAATAAAATGACTTTGTCATTTCAGCTTTTAGAAACCATTTCAACAATAAAATTGTAACAAGAAGTTAATGCATGCAACATGTTTACATTTTCTGGTCCAATTCATGTATCAGTACATTTCTTTAAACATTTATTTTCAGTAAGAAACTGGGTAGCATTTGGGCTGTGAGTGGGCAGTATTGAAATATTACATATCACTATCAATCAATGGAAAATGGATTGATATTAGGGAGGAGGTAGCTGGGAATTAAGTGACTTAACAGGAAATGCACATTGTACATTATCCAATCTTGTATTCCATATGAAAGCTGCCTGTACCACCAATATGGATTTCTCCATAATGAAAATAACTTATTTATTTGAGAACACACTGATTAATATACACCAAGAGAAACTGCTCATCAAAATAGTGGTGTATTCGGGAGCTTTCAACATTTACTGAATTTTCACAAATATAAGAAAACTTGAATTGTAAGACAACACCCTAATTTTGAAGAAGCTTTCAGAGAAATTTCAAACTATTTCTTACTATTTAGTCAAAATAAAATTGTCTAATTGACTAGTTGTCCTGTTGATGAGAATGTTAAAACTTATCACCTGGGTGTAACTATTTTTTTGTTTCTTAAAATCCTCATAGTTTTTGTCACTAGCCACTTTGCCTTCACATGGATTGTTGTTGTCTACTTTCTTTTTCGTCCTATGACTTTTCAGCCCGTCTAAAAGTTTTGCATACTGAATTAACGTTCTTGGGTCTTTCATCTGATGGCACCCAAAAACACTGCCTTCTGTACCATGATTTTTGATCTGTCTCAGCTATGTTCGTGGCTTCTGATTTTTAACTGTTCTTTCATATTTTTTTTATCACAATGTACTTGAAATTAATGTTGTTTAATGTTTCTCTGATAAGAGTTGTGAAGTGAGAATTCATACATCTTTGTTTTGTAGGTAATGTGGGCAGCAAGTTTCCAATTTGGAAAGTTTTTGCTAAGATACTTTTTTCCTTCCTATGATTGAATGTAGAATGTGTACTTCTAACAAGTGGATTTTTTTATTTTGTCCTCTTCCAAAACTCAGATGGCTGTCAAACCTTCAGCTTTGTTTATCACTGTATTGTGGAACAAAATCTCAGCAACAACTTCAATTTATTTTCAATAGAGTTTCCCTACAATGCCATTTGCTTGAGATTCTCTGTGTATTGACACATTCAAAAATACCGGTTTGAATTGCCTGGCAAATTCACAACACGTCAGGGAATATAATTAGGTATTACACATAAATCTGATACTTTTGTCTTCACGGCTAATTTTTAAGTTAACATTAGTTTCATGTCATGGAGACAAAAAAGGAAATGTTAAAACAAATCCTACCCGAATAGGCATAATCTGCAAATATAAGACAATCCCGTATTTTTCAAATAAGTTATTTAGGAAAAATCTCGTATGTTTACATGATTACTACTCAAAGTCACTGGAAAATCTCCAACCACTTAGCGTCTTAGGAATGGAAGTGTTTCCACGTTGGTAATGAGTAAATGGTGACACTCCAAATTTCATGGTGTTGGGGGGGGGGAGAGAGAGGTAAAGTCATAAATGTGAGTTTAAAGAAAAATAAGAATACAATTTTCTATGTGATCAATGAAAACCAGACAATATTCAAAAATAATAAATTCACTATATTTTAATGGTAAATTCTTTGTATAGAATAAGATTTTGTCATGAGTAACTCCTTTAACAGCTTCACTTCCCTTTCACAAAAAACTTCTTCTCTCTTTATCTGTGCACCCTTGAATTAACCTTAATCACAATTTCAGTCTTGAATATTCCTCCCTGATTACTATGATAATTTTACAGTAGCATGTATTGTAAAAGAAACAACTTAGCAATTGACGCTTGTTTTAGATAGCTATCACAATACATCAATAATATACATGTCTTAATTAATTCTGCGTTATTTGTGATCTATTAATTATGCAAAAATAATAATTATCCAATTACCACAAGAAAATAAAATTGTTTTGTGATAATATTCTGTTGCAAGAATATTTTGATTTGTTTTAATGCTACATTACAATTTGGTATACAATATTATCTGGTTGTTTATTTTCATTGATAACATAATATATTTCTTGGTTCTTTGTGTGAAGTTGGATCGTAGCCAGCGGCGTAAGTTTTATAAGGACTGACAGGACCATGTCTGGGGTCCCCTGAATAAAAGTAAATTTCAGTGTTAAATAATGAATTCTTACCTACAAAAACATGGGATCAAATAAATAAATTATTTGCCGAGTTACACTGACAAGTTATTGCATAGACGTCTAGTTACTATTGCTTAGATAACATGACCTCTAGCGGCAATCGCGGGCAATAATTTTGATGGAGGATGTTCTTTCACAAGCCATTGACAAATGTTTAAAAATGAGTGAGAGACAGAAACAAATTAACATTAAATTAAAAGGAAGAGTGGCTGTGTGCCATATAATATTAAATTTGCAGTCCAATAAAACTTCAGAAATAACACTTACCAATTAAAAATTAATGAAGTAAAATGGCACAGGAGTGTCTGAAAAATTAATGAATTTTATCCATTGATTGCAAAATCCGATGTGGTTAAAAAATAATATTTATGATGGTGATAAATTTGTAAATGCAAAGAAAAGATCAAAATTTAAATTATGTCATGAAATTACAAAAATAAATTATTTTCTCTTATAGTGTATTATAATAAACATTTTCACTTCTAAAATGCAGTTTAACATTACAAAATTAAATTAATGACACGTCTTCAATTAGGGGGCCCCCCTATATTCTATTGGTCCAACGGCAGCCTCTGTTGAACTTACGCCACTGATTGTAGAATGTTTCCCTTTCACATTTGTTGTTATTTTACCTGAGAAATAGGCATAGTTACGCAAAATCGAGGGAAGAGTTGGGAAGATTCTGGTTGAGTACACCAAAACACCTCACATGCAGTGTTTACCAGATTGAATCCATTATCTTGGGCCTTTTAACATAATTCCAGAGTACATTACACTGGATATAAATAATTATTCTCTGGAAGACCACTACAATGATGAGTCAGTATTATCTTTCTGAAGAGCTATAACTACAATACTTAGACAGTAACAGTTATTTAATATTTTAAAACTGAAATCCATACCATATGGTCCCTGCCACAGACAAAATTATCACATTACATGGAATATTCATCTAAGCACCTTTTAATGTGTAACCAAAGTCATTGAGCATCAGATGAGTAAGAGGTATCTTTTGATCAAATAAATTACTATTTCATTTGCTACCTAATGTAACTAAATGCTTTGCAGAATTTAAAAAGCATTTACTTCATCACATAATGCTTTAAAGAAAGGATTAAATACAAACAAAAACGTCCTTTCATTTTCTGAAAATATATTTACAATCACTCGTCAATCATTTATAATGCCTTTTACTAAAAATTGAAATGGTTCGGAGGATCACAATGAAATTATGTTTTATGAAGTACTTAATGCACAACAATATTTGATAAAAATAACAGGCATAAAAACACCACAGCCTTTCTAGAAATGGGTATAGTTCTCCATTTACAGCATTGTTGTTGTAAAAGAAATCGTGAAACAATACTACAAATCTCATGACAAATTGTACAATAATGCTCAAAGATCAACATTATTAAGATCAGCTCCAGATGCTGAGGGAAGATCTACATCGTCTGGGGGCACAAATTTACCAATAGGCTTCTGAGCATAAGTGATTTCTCTCAACTTGAACATCTCCTTGTTGAGTTTTTCCAAGATTGCGAAGTTTGGGGAGTTAACTGCAGCTTTGCTCTGCAGAAGTGTTATTTCTTGTTCTTCCTGTTTTTTCTCTTTAATACTTTTCACAGATCGGCTCCCATACAAGCGAAGCAGAGACCCCCAACTTGTAATGTGAGGATGCAATGCTTGTAAGATAGCCTGAGAAGCACGTTGCTTTCCATCCCGTTTATTTTTACAGATAACTTTGGCAGTGTGACGACCAACAGTCATAGTAAATTCGTTTTTCTGATGCCGCAAAGTATTAACTTCGTACTTGATATGCATTTCTCCAAGTCCAAAATTTCTGCAATTCATGTAATATTTAATTGAATAATAAGAGTGATTAATTAAAATTTTAATAAGACTGTAACAATAAAACATTGTAAACAAATATTACCTTTGCAGACATGTAAGTAATATTGCATATGGAGATGGTTCAGTTGTTTTAGCACACAATTCTGCCACTCTAGGATCTTCAATCTTGATTTCATCAAAGAACTGGAAAAGAACAAAACAAAATAAATTGTGATGTAACCCTTCAATTTGGATGCTTCTGAATCACAGACATGCCTTGATATCAAATTCCTTCTTATAGGCGTTCAAAGGACTTGTAATTGTGCCCATTGTTTGGTCAAAATGAATAAATTTACAAGATTAAATGTTTTAAAACAAATGGAGGTTGTGATTGGTTAAAGGATGTAAGTACATAAAACGTTCTCCTTCAAATTCAATAAAAAAGCTGTGTTTATCTCTGGCTTTCTTTATTACAAATAAATGATCTTCAATAATCTTATTGAAAGTTCAAGTGACAATGTAACGTCACATCAAACAATCCAATTCATTGTTTTATGGAAGAATAAACATTGAAGTCCAGTTTGATAGTTTCTGCTGATATTTTGCCTCATCACAATCAAGTTCATGAATGCAACTGGTTTTCTTTTGGACACTTTCTTTGCTTTATTTGACAAGATAATGCATACACAATATTGAAATTTTATCTACATATTACACACAAATATACAGATGTTAGTGTGTGTTATGATGTACAAGATAAATAACCTATATTAACCAAAATAATTAAATAACTACTGTAATGGTAGATATTTTGAACTAACAAACAATATTTCAATCAGCAGTCAGTGACGAGACTGTTTCTAACGGGAGGAGGGAGGAGGAGGAGGCTTGTGCAACAGGTGAATAAATCTGAGGCAAATGTGTTAATAAAACATAAATTTAAAATAGAAACATCAAGTCGCTACAATAATTTTAGCTTCAGAACAATTCTTACAGAAAGATCAGTGTCTGGACCCTTAAGAGTGACTCGTGCTCCCACTCGTTCGTCAGCTTGAATTTTATCACGCATCTCTGGAATTAATATTTCAAGAGTAGCTTTGGCAGCATCAGATTTAGCTTGCTTTTTGCTTGTTCCATAGCCAACACCATACTGCATTCCATTTATTGTTACTGTAGCTGCATATGGAGTAGCTGCATTCTCTGAAAAATAAAACCAAAGCATTTTTTTCCATTGATAAATATCAAACTCAAAGCCAGAAAATCTCTTTAAACAAAGTTAAATAACATACATACACACTAAAAAATTTCAAATTAAAATAATAAACTACTACCCCAAAAATGGCAGAAAAAGCAATATCTGACAAGATAAATTATGTTGTCAATATTTAATTTAAGATAATAAGTTAAAATAATTTAGAGAATTCAAATTGAATGAAAATTTGGTTCCAAATTCTTTAGAACATGCAAAACACAATTTATATATTGAATATGAACATTATGATTTTCTGCATACTCGGAGTTACACAATGTGCAAAATAAAACACAAACAACACTATTTAAGAACTAAAAATTTACGATAATAAATGTTGCATCAGTTTTTTCCTTTCAGTGAAGGAAAGTCAAGTCGAATACCACTGTGTCTTATAATAAAGACATCTGAGTACAAACATTTCTGTTTCTTAAGAGGGCAGGAAACTGTGAAATACCAAAAATTACACTGGACATCCCTCAATTCAGAAGTCATTCGGAAACAATGATTTTTGTCTCTCATAGGCGGGAAATGCCAAAATAAGTTTATATGATAATTTTACTGCCTGTCCTCTACTTGATGTACGACTTCAAGGGTGCTTGAGAGTAAAATCAATTTGTCACTTGGAAAATGTATTATTTCAAATACTGACTTTCTTGGTGAAAAAATTCCACTAGAACAAATATTCTGACAACCACACATTAGAAATTCTCATAAGCAGATTACTTACATACTGGAAGAAAATACCTATACACATGGAGAGAATACCATTGGACTGAGGCAGCTCAATTGTAGTTTACATGTGGGATTCTCTACTAATGGGATTCTAGTGTATCTAGCAAAAATTTACACATTGTTGTAACCCCAGTTAATGATCTCTTAAGTTTCACAATGGATAAAAATAATTAAACAAAGAAAGATATCAGATATTAACATCAGAAGAAACCATTTCAGGCAAAACTATTACCCAATACTTACCTAGTTCTTTAAAGCTGTATGAGGGTTGTTTCTTTAGTGCATGTTGAACATATTCATGAAGTATGCAAACATAACTTTTTCCATTAGGGTTCATTATCCATTCTTTCTTAGGATGGCCACTTTCTCGATAACCTGCATTATCTAGCAAATAATCAAAGCCTAGATTTACATCCATGTTCATTTAGAAACAATTTTTTTTTTTTTTTTGACAAATAATACACACACCTGGATTTTGAATAGGGAATTTAATAAGTTTTGTTCCTTCTGGCAAAGTAGGACGTTGTAGTTGTTTTTGTTGCTTCTTCTGCTTTGTAAACTTTCTTCTTTCTGACCATGATCTGTGTTATACATTAATAAACAAATTATATGTAGTCAGAAGTAGTCTTCAAGAAAACGTGGAAGACGTAACTTACTTGAACCGCAGAACTTTTATTGTCTTGAAGTGGAAAAGCTTTTGGCAATATTCTCTTACTTGTAAATGATTCAGAGACTGGGTAGCTTTATTTTCTTGTATTGTTTCAATTGATGCATTAGGGAGGGCTGCATCCAAAACAGGAATCGATGGTGTGCCTGATGAAAAAATATTCACATAATTTCTACATTCTACAATGGCAGTAAAATACTGCATTAATGGGCATTTGTTCCAAGAACTGTACTGTAGTTTATAAATAAAATAAAGTTGTTTTTTTAACTTTCTGGGTTTGTTTCTTAGGGCATCTTAATAACTTTTTTTCACCTTGTTTCACGCTTAATTACATAATTTTCAAAAACCTGAAATTCCCCAAGTACAAATATTTATATTTTAAGATGAGATATCTCGAAGAAACAAAAAAAGTGTTTTTCATTTGTAAGAAACAGAAATATTATGAATTACTTATCAGTCACAATTATTATTATTTCAATATAAAGAAGAAAAACCCCAGGATGAACAAAATTTCCATGTGTTATTTGAAAGTACCATTTCAAATTTCATTTTGCAATCTAAAGGGTTTAATTAAAGAATTTTGATAATCACTAATTATTCTTTCTATTCAGAAGTTGATTTATGTCAACTGAATATACTTTTGGCCAAGAACTAGACAACTTTTAATACTCAGCTCTGCCACAATATACAATTCTTACCTTTGTATTAACTCACACCATCATAGATCATTTATTTAAAAAATGTGTACTTTTTTTACTATTGCTTAAAAAAATCGATTTAGAGTGCAAACCAAGTTTCATTTGATACAATAAGAAGGGAAAAAATAATACTTCAAGACAATTTTAGAGAACTTTTTCTTTAGATTTTGATAATGTAAATGTAGATTACACCGCCTGATAAATTTCCAGAGCGCCTAAAGGATAAACACAAAACCACACAAAGTAAGCCTTGTTATCAATCATCTGTGATATTCTGAAAGACATGGCAATGTTTTTTCATATTCACAAAAAATAGGTGTGAATTACAACCAGAAAAAGATAAAAGTGTATAATTTGATGAAAACAAATGGCATCTCATTCAGACTTTACTTGATTGTATCAGTTCTTGGAGTGTTCCATTCACTAAATTGTTGCTTGATGGTGCCTGCAGGTTTTCTCCAGCAACAGCAACTTCATCAATTTCTCCAGTCGACGCAGTGCTAAGTGTTTGCTGCTGGGCCTGCATGGGACAGCCTATGGGCTGGTTGGATTTTGTATCCAAAGCTCGGCGATATTGCAAACAAGGAATAGCACTCAAGGGAACTTCATGTTTCTAATAACAACAGGAAAAAGAAATGTGACCTCTCTTAAAACTAACACTTGATGACACTAAGTAACAAAATATAAAAATAATTTCTAGTTTAATATGTCTACTGTTGCCTCATTAATGGTTAAAAACAACATAGGAATCAATTCAAAAGTTTCCTACCCTTGCACTTCCTGGTCCTAAAAAATATGGTTTGGATAAGGTGCAAACCCGTGATTGTTTATGAAGGTATATTGGCATACCACTATTGTGTGTTACTTGTACCCATCCTTCAGGTAACATGTCAAAATGATTATGACCGATTTCTAAAAGGAAACATTCATTAATAATTGTATTTTCCAAAGAAACACACATTATACACACTGTCAACAAGTTACCTTCTAGAACAATTTTCTCTCGCTGTTCATACGGATTTTCTCCTTCACCTTCCTTTACATTAACTTGTTTCTTCTTTCTTTTAAATTCTTCTGGAAGTCCTGAAATAATTTTGTTATAACACTAACTGGCTTTTAATAGTATTATTATTGCAGAGCAATGAAAAAATGCTTACCCTCTTCCAACATTGCCTCAATTTCCTCATCTGGAACATCAGAATCGTAACTCCTTTCTGATTGATTGTCAGACTCTTGATCATCATTTTCATCATGATCAAATTCATCAAGAACATCAAATTCCCTCAGTGCCATTGCAGCAGAATCTGGATCATCGAAGTCTGACAAACGATCTGGAGTTTTAACACCATCTGGTTTCTTTGGTTCTTCTTTCATATTCACCTCGTCGTCGTCATCATCATCATCATCATCTAAATCTTCACAATAATCATTTTTTAAATCTGCTGCATTTTCAAATTCTTCACTGAGGTCCGTATTGCCTTCAGCAGAGTCACTTGAAAATCTTGTAAAATTTGATTCTTTAGGACTACCAGCTTGTGCAAGCTTTGCATTTTTGGAATTCCCTTCTTCATCCATATCAGTAGCATATTTACGTTTAGTAGCAAACATCTTGAATTCGTTGCTGGGCTGCACAGGTTTAGAACCTCGTAACTCAAAACACTCGCCAAGTTATATTAAAACAATTTCAATTACAATCTGGTGATCTGTGACAAACTCCATCTAACTGTACAAAGAACAAGAGCAAGACTCAGACAACAGACTCTACACATCAGTACAAAGCTAGGGGTAGAGGCCAAACATACAGGGAAGGACTAGATATGACAATGCAGCAGATGTAACTGTTACAAAAGAAAGAAAACTTTCCCTCAAAACTGAACAGAATGAGAAAAGTGCAAAAGTAATAAAATAAACCGAGGACAGTGGAAGTTTATGTCATACAGAATTTTCTGCCCTTATCTTCCTTTCACAAAAACAAATTAAATAAACGGGTCCTTTCAGAAAATACAGTCTGTATGACACTGAAGACATTACAATTATTAATTTGTATCTGTGTACAATACTTTGCTTTCCTACAGTGTTCATAAAATAAAATTTATAAAATGAAAAGGGTCATGGGTGATTGTTATTAAAAATAATATATTTGAAGCAATGGAAAATGTAGCAGCACAAAAAAAGAACTTTTATTGCTGCAAATTAAAGGCAGATGTGGAAGTCATAAACTTCTTCTGTCAGTGTAATAAAATGAATACTTTTCTTGTTAAATGTGTAAAAAGTATTTGTTTTCTCTCTCTGCTTGCTTACCGCAACATCCAACAGAGGGACGTGTTGTCTCTATTAAAGAGGCTGCAGCCACACCGTAAGTCAGTTCCCCCACTCCCACCAATGACATCAAAGTCCAACCCTTTTTAATTGTAATTCTGATTAGACATTTGCATTGGCAGGAGCAGAGATAACCAACTGATTTAACACAATAAACATGTATAAAGAGGAGAAAAATTATTTATTTAAAGAAGTAAGACAAACACTTGTAGCAGGTGTAGTGGAAGCTAACACACAGGAAAACCTCCTTATAAACTATAATACAAGTACTGACGTTTTCCCTGCACTGTCAATAGTTCTCAATAAAGAGAGAGCAACATTAAGACGGAAAAAACTCCCTCATTTATCTGAACTGTTGCAGTGCACTATGCTGTTGCTGTTATCACTCCTCTGTTCCAGATCCAGATAATGATTGAAGAGCATAAGGCAGAGCTCCAACCGTTATCCATTGGAGATTCCTACTGCAGAAGTAGCAAACCACAAATACAGCTTTGGACTAGACATTTTATGGCTAGTTCACAGCATTCTATGGGAAAATTATCTTGCATTATCTACTCAACCAAAAATATTCCTTATGAACATTATTCTGCCATGTCTTATAGAGTTAGGGATAGGATGTTACATTTTCAATGTTCTTAAAACACAGTGTAACTCCCAGGCACAAACTATACTTAACAATAATGATTATGAATTATTTCATTTTTACAGTTCGTGTAAAACGTCTCCGACAATTTGCCATGTGCTGGTGAAAGCAAACAGAACCGTATATCAACATAGAATTCCATTAACTCATCTTACAGACCACATCAACCTCCCCCCTCCAACAAATGGCATATCATCAGAGTTGTAATTTTCACTAAACCCATAGAACTTCTTCGCTGTTAGTTACCTGATATTATAACTAAAATCGTTCATAGAAATTATTGACGTTCCTAAAACATTCAAAATATTTGAAAGGTAAGCGTAAATCACCTAGGTATTGATTAGAAAAAGCCATTCTACTCTGCAGCACAACTCTTTTTAATGTAATACTAAACACTCCTAGACAGTGCCATGTTAACCAACTCAGGGGAATTACATTCTTTAAGCTCTAAATTTTTCTTTAAAAAAAGCGAACAGATTTGACTTGATTAGGAAGTCAGGTAGTTAATGAACATGTCGATAGGAGAAAGTAATGTATGTAACACGTTATATGTTACAAATCTCAAGAAGCACATATACACAATAAAACACATGAGGAGAGATGACGTTGCCTAAACTGGCTTTCACTTCTTTCGTTTTCCAGTCAATTGTTCGCACAAATAGGAACAAGAGGAGGTTGATGCATGGAAGGGTGCGTGCACAAATGGAAGCGGAATTTTAGTTGATTCCGAGCGCGTCAACTGACCCCACTCTCAAAAAGTAGTCAGTCCTGTAAGTGTAGTGTGTTTTTTGTGATATGTACAGTAGTGATGATCTTTCCGAACTGGATGGCGAGATCCGGCGCAGACCTACACGTCGGCTTGCTGGGATTTTCCCTAATATCCTGAGCTACCTAAGTGGTATTTTAGCCTATCCTCGCCGCTTACGTGCATTTACATGCACAAAACTACTACACCCAGAGAGTATTATATGCATATCAGGAGACCAGTCAGGAGCTTAGAGTTTGCCTTTGCCAGTGCGGAGTCTCGCTGATAGGAAAAAGTCCGCAAGCCGAAGTGTAGGTCGGCGCCGGAACTGAACATCGAGCGGGGAGGGGGAGAATACCCTCACACAACATACTATATACTTATTGGATCTATGACCATAGCTGTTGACGGAAGCCCAAATTTATCAATCATGAATTTGGTTATGATACAAGTAGCATGGTCAATTAGATTCCATCAGACCCCATTCGGGAAATGTGTGTTGGATTAATTGATTGATTAGTGATTCTGGGAGCGTCAACTGCCAAGCTCATTAGTACCGTACGTACAATGCATGGCTTTATCGCGGCAGGTGGCGGTGATCTTTCCCTGCTGAATGACGAGATCTGGCGCCGACCTGCACATCGGCTTGCGGATTTTCCCCCAACCTGGGATCTTCAGCTAATAGCTGCCAGGCTGGAATTTAGAACGTCCCGTACCTTTCTCCCAGGTAGCAGCTTTCTGGAAGCTGGTTTGGGGCGCACTGGCAACGTTGTTGGAAACAAGGAAATCCCTGAGCGAGTAGTACCAATATTACGCATTCGAAAGCCGTTATTTAGTCCGATTATTATTAATATAAAATAATTGAAGTGTTTATTTCGACATACATGATCATTTATAAATTTATGGCTATATGTAAATATATCGTGCATGTCATTATCGGGAAAATTACTTTGATATATGAATAATTTTACCTTGTGAGAGTTGGTTCAAGAATTCAATTTTTTCCTTGGGTTTCGTGTCCCGTGATTTTCAGATTGGTCGCACATTGCACGGAAATATCAATTCCACGTTAGCTGGCATAGTGGAGTGGTGGGAAATTTTGTGAGTGTGTGTGTATTTAAGAATGTATAAAATGTCCGAAAATATAATCTTGGACAATCCCAAGAAGAGTTCGCCCTTCACCGAAACGGAGGAGGCAATTCTGGTGGAGTTTCGGAAAATGAAGGACGAGTGGAGATTAACAAAAGTGATGCAACAACAAATGCTGCAAAGATTTCGACATGGAAAAAAAATACTTCTAGTTTTAACACCCAACAAATGTTCCAATGGATTGGCCATAGCGCGGATATACCGCCAAGGCAGTCGTCTCCTTCTCTACTCAACATTCTGCACGCATTCGTAAAATTCATAAAAGTCATCCATATCCTGAAACAATACCATGACCGCAAAGAAACAGCAATATTCAAAGCCAAAACTCAATCCACAAGATACTTATGAAACCTTGCTTTGTAGTGAATTACCTTGGTATAAAAAGTGTTAGCAGGGTCTTAATCAGACTTTATGTCAATATGCAGGTTATGTTGCCGTTTATAAGGAATGGTCCAAAAGAGAAAGCTAAAATTCGCTATATATCCCATTGAGAAGTGAATGGCGTATGCAAGGTTGCTGTAAATCAATAAGGGAGTCCAAAAATCAAACAAAGTAGGTAAAATATTAATATACTAAAACAACTACACACGGAGGGAGTAAACACACGAGTGAGCCAAGCGGGGGGCAGGCTGGAGGGGGGCTGGCAGCACCAACATGCCTCTGCCAGCAACGGGTCGCTGCAGGCAGCTAGCTGAGGGCTAAAATACTCTCTGCTGAGGGCTAGGTAGCGCTAGGGACCGTTCATAAATCACAAAACCGACCGCTGGCAGCCAGCTAGGCCAGGCAGGTTCCTGGCAGAGGTTCATAAATGCCACAAATCAAGACTGGCAAGTATGCAAAGTTACTTTAAATGCCGCAGAAGCGATATTCTGCTGCACAATGGAATTGCATTGTTGGTATGTATGACGCAATCAAGTATAACACATAATTACCGTTAGCTTAAAGTGTTGCAATTCACAGTACAGTGTGATAAAGAAAGTTCACCATTTCCACATATTAACTGGAAATTGGTAGTTAGTGGAACAATGCACAAGGCATGTGTCTCACGGCGGCAATAGCGCGCGACTGAGTATGATGTAATCACATTCAGTATAACAAAACAATTGTTCATGTTGGAAGCGTAAGACTTACATGCTCATGACTAGTATGCGTTCAGCATGGAATATTCACAATATATTGCGATATAGAAAGTTCATCATTACCACGTTTTGAATGGAAAATGGTGGATTTCGTCGAGCGACGTACTACGCGTGTTGCTCAGAGCGGCACAGATGTTTAACCGACTACGTTTTGTAAACATTAGAACCACTGATTAATATTATACTCTCTGATTAGAACGGTCACACGAACGGCGGGACGCCTGGGACGGGAGGGGGGCCGAAGTTCTCACGAGCTCGTCCGAGCGACGTCCGGCAATGTTAGAGGCATAGAATCCAGCATGAAGTATAAAATATGAAATGTACCCATTTGGCCGAGAATGTGCCATTGTAAATTAAAATATTAGAATTGAAGAGGGTTCACACAACACAATTTTGGTGTGCCGTTAAATATCGATGCACTTAGTTTATAGCTTGTCATTTCATGTGCACATTTCACATTTTTCTCCTGTGCTCGTATTTTCACAAAAATATTTCCATGACGTTTGCCTCATTACTAGTATTATCATTTGATGTAGGGTTTGATTGATTTTTTTGTATGAATTATATACACCGTAGAGCGGGGCCACGCCGGGGGGTCTTGCTGCAAAGTGGAATGGGGGTCCTCGAGGGGGACTTAAGTAATTTTAAGGGGAATACCAATATTCTGCCTCCTGAAACAAGATGCATCTTAATTTTATGAATTCATGTGTTACTGAAAGCCCACAAGTTCGGTCAGTTCTTGACGGTATAAAATGCGTTTCATTTCATGTTTAGCGAATTTATTTTCATTTGATGTAAGGTTTGTTAGTTGGTTTTGTATTGTATAGATTCTATTGCTGGTAATTGTCTGAATGCAGAACTAATACAAAATTCGAGTGCCTACTGGAAATCAAAGGCAGGATCATGCGCGAGGTAGGTTAACATACCTGATACGGTCACTACATGTGAAATTATTAAAGTAATATTTGAATATACAGTTTTATTGAACCAACTGTTAATTAATTTACAAAAAAATGCTTACGTTTTATTATATATTGGTGTTCTGAGCTTTGGAAAGTACTTTCTCGTTATTTAATAGAGCTGCAACTCCCAGGTTGTTGAGGGTCCAGCTGCCACTGCTTGGTACTGAATAAGTGTATTTTTCAAAATGTATACTTGTTTTTCCGTCTACGAACTACCCTAACACCTATAACCATTTTTAGATTTCAAAATGAATATTTTCCGATCGATCTGGCCCGACTCAAGACCCTGCAAATTTACGTACAAACCCCTGGTAAATTCTCAAAATTTTCTCAAAAATGACTCCAAATTTTGCTTTGTTTTGCTAAAATAGAGGAAGATGTGCTTATAAAGTTGACATATGTCCGATTTTGTCCATATGTCCATATGTCTCTGAATTTTTGAAAATTACTATGGTAAAACTTCTTGAACCCAACAACTTGAACCTTACAACTACATTATTGAAGATTATGAATTTTGTCTGATAGAAATGTGTTATTCATAATTAGATCTTAAAGTAATGTTATGTACATTTTTAAAAATGAGAAATTTTTTAGTGAAAAATGGGCTACCAAAAACACAAGACAAAACGAAAAACACAACTACAAACAAACAAGATTTTCTTAGAAACCGCTCAAATTTCGTTTGATTATAGACTTCGTGTGGCAGCAGTGGCCAGTGATGGCTAACGGAGCTAGCGCTTCTAATGGCAGAACTATGTACCATTTCATAAAACAATTGTTGAATGATGTGAAGAAAGAACAACAAAAACACCAAAAACTCAATTATACATTCGTTGCCGCTGATCTGAGGCTTGGGTTGAGAGGAGGGTGATTAGCGAGTGGATGTGGTCTTATGTGAAATGGATCAGGTGGACCACGTGTTTGTTTTATCGAAGCTGTAATTTGACGTTTATTAGATTGCTACGTTAAAATGGATGAATTGACGGAAATGTTAAATTACCTTGATGTGAGGTCTCGCTTAGACCTGAAAACAATTAGCCTGCAATATGTTTTAGGTACTTTTTGTGTTGAAGTTGAAGGGACTTAGGTGTTATGAGAATTATTGTATTAAGTTCACATTTAAGAGATAGTCCCAACTTCATTGAAGAACAAAAAGAAGAAGAAGAAAAAAAAAAAACAGTTCATTTGTTAAAAGCAAAAAAATTCATTTGTTAAAATACATTCTCTTAATAAACTATTTAATCAAGTTCAGACTCTTAAATGTGAATGACAATAGACACAATACATTATACAAATATAGTATATTATATTGAGTTGTTTGAAAATAAATTAATTTTGATAATTCAAATTTTATCACTGCTTTTAATACAGGTGTGACAGGCTCAGAGGATGGAAAACTCTTCATTGTCAGTCGGCCACCCCTTGTAAAAACTGTTTTGGCACTGTTGCATGATCCATCAGCAAGTGTTGCCAAAGATGCATTTTTATGTATTGTAAATTTGTCTGCGGAAGAGGCTGGTGCACGTGTGCTTGTATCAGAAGACTGTTGCAGTGGGAGTGAGGTAATATGATTTATCCAACAACTTAAAAGACCAAATTGTAATTGAATCAGCAAATTTTTTGTATACAGTGTATGTTATTAATTTTTTGTTGCTAATTTAATGCATATTTCATGTGTTTTTTTAAGGAAATTGGAGAAAAGGGAATGAAGTCTGCAAATATTGTGGCATCTGTTTTATCTCACATTGTTGATCCTGAATCTTCACTTGCAGACCCTGCATGTGCCATATTATCCAATATAACCAGACCATCATGTACAGTTCAGCGTGTACTTGATTTGATATCACAAACTGATGTTACAATTGAAAAGTTGGTGACTGTGTTCACGAGAATTGGTTATAACAAAAAAGGTGCCACATTACATTATTTAGGACCAGTGTTCTCAAATCTTAGTCAATCGAGTACATTTAGGAGGTAATTGATATATTTCACTTCAAATCTTTATGATGAAGCATTGAATTCGTCAGAGAAATTAGGTCCTTTATTTTTGTTTTACAGTTACCTATTAGATAGAGGACAATGTGTAATTCAAAGATTGGTACCATTTACTGAATATAAGGATTCAATAATAAGAAGAGGTGGTATTGTGGGAACATTAAGAAATTGCTGCTTTGATGTTGGTGAGGAATGTATTATATTTCATGTTCGTGTACTCACTTTTAAGTGGTGAATACAGTGTAACTTCTAACGGACTCTTCCCTCTTACAGTCATTTTCACATTTCCCTACTGTTCTGTTTTTTCGAATATGTTTTGTATTTCTGTATAGTGGATGTTCTCTATGTTATTCGAATGCAGTCAGTTAATCTGTCTCTTTCTTTCTTTTGTTCCCTTTTAGTTAACGTAGGGTACATGGTACACCCTCGGAGAAGTGCGGCAGCGGGGGAGCTCCTTTAGCTGAAATTACTCTATGTGCTCTGATAGAAATGAATAAAACTTATGTATAGTTGATTTTCATGGTTCACCCTTCATATGCTTTGTCCTTGCTGCACTATAATGCCAATGTACTTTCAAAGGCAAGTTTTCTTGCTTCGCTCCCCGGATCGAAGTCATGGCGAGGCTCGGGCCTCCGGCGCTTCCACTCACTATAAACATCCTTGAGTCTATCCATTGCATAATTACCAATTCACTTTTATAAGAAATCACTTTTCAAGAAAGCTTCCAGAATTCAACTGTCTAGTTAACGCCGAATCGGTGCGAAGTGCCGGTTTAAACGACTTCGTAAGTTGTCTTGTATACTAGACTTCAGCCGTCCTTTTTCTCTCTCTCTCTCTCTCTCTCTCTCTCTCTCTCTCTTTTTTTTTTTTTTACATTTCACAAGATTTTTCTCAATGATTCTTCTTTCTGGTGAACTCAACCCTTTTCGGAGAACCTTCACTTCCAAATGTTGCTGAGATTGTGCGTTTTCTTTTTGCTTTTGATTCTCTGAATTTTATTTCACATATTACTGTGTGTGATTATTATTCTTTTACAATAATTTTAAGGCTGATGTTCAATTTCAGATAAGGTCGGTTAGTGCTGAGGAGCCATAATTTGTTATGTCTCTCATAAATTATGTCCATAAATTATGTAACGCAAATTTGGGGAATTTTGAATATCCCCTCTCCCCTCTGTGACACTTTCGTGATTGAACCCCTCTAAATAATTATGTAACGCTTGCGACCCCTCCCCTGTAAATGCAAGAAGTGAAAATAAATTATGCAGATCAGTTTTGAATATTTTCTTTGTAATCTTACAGATTATATACGAAATTGATGAAAAAATATTTCCATTTATTGTAATAACTTTCAATATTCAAAGTATTTTAACAAATGTTACAAAAATGTGAGCAAATATCAATGTTACGTAACACTAATCAAATACTGCTGCTATATAACGTAACGCTGCCTCAAACTCCCTTTTCCATTTTTACAGTTACGTAATTTATGGACGACCCCTTTGCTTGATGTTATGTATTTACACATGTTATGAATTGCATGTGTATTTACACGTCTGATTCCAGAATTTGTAATTTTTCTTGTTTTCTTCTGCACCCTGATTAACACTTCTCCTCCTTCTCCTGATTAACACCTCAACTTTTCTCTAAGAGACAAATTCTTGTTCCTCATGGATTTTCTCTTTTGATCTTGACTCTTTATTTCTATATCTTAAAGAAAAAGAAAAATAAAATTAATGAGCCATTATTTAGTGTCATAAAATTATTTCTCAAGAAATTAATAATATCTTGAAAATGATTAAATTTACAAACCATTCCTATTTTCCCTGTTTCATAAAGGATGTGATTCTAGCCAGTCATATGTGGTTGCTCGGGCCTGATGTGGACATCCTACCAAGATTACTTTTACCTTTGGCTGGATCAGAGGAATTTGATGAAGAAGATAATGAGAAATTGCCTCCTGAATTGCAATACTTATCCCCAGACAAAAATCGTGAACCTGATCCAGACATTAGGAGAATGCTGCTGGAAGCCCTTTTGCAGGTTGGACTTGTTATATTTAGCATAATCTATGAAGGCAGTAGGATGTATCTAATTTAGCTTATACGTTTTTGGTCCCTCTGAATAAGTCATCTTTATTGCCAAGAATGAAGTAAGCATACAAGTGGACTTGATTATCCTAATCATTCTCTGCATTTGTGTACAATGTGGCAAATTAAATTTCTTCCCTTTCCTGAATGAAGGGTTTTTAAGTATTTAGAAAAATAACATAGGTAAATCGGAAGTTGGCAGTGTCCCGGTACATGCATGTGAAATTCTGACGCTTTGCTTCACATGTCCAAGTTGAGGATGAGGCTTGGGTCTTTGGCCCTCGTGTTAACATAATACATCCTTGAATCTGTACTACACATAATTACCAATGCATTTTATGTGAATACTCTTTTTAAAAATCATTTGGTGAGTATACTTTGAAGTATATGTATATATGTGCTGCAAGCGGATGAACGATATCAAGGAACCAAAGGCACTAGGACACTGCCAACTTCCGATCAACCATAACGTAAATTTCATAAGATCATAACTCCTAACAAGATAAATCCAGGTCATAATATCTACTCAGGCTATAAGAATGATTAGTTTCATGATGGAATTATTGTTATATATTTTTCAAGACAAATTTTTACCTAAAAACTTTGTTGATTTTAAGTGAAAGAAAATTAATGGTTAAGTAATTTATAACAGATAATATTAAACTATTCCAATTGGGATCCAGAATGCCTGACCAAAATTTTATTTCTTTCACTCTGGATTGCTAGAAACATTAGGCACTATTATTGTTAAATCATATTCTCAATGAATATTTCTATTGTTATTACTATTATTACAATTACTAATAGTATTATTTTAATTACTATAACTGTGTAATATTTTATTTCTATCTGTAACAAATATTGTAATTCAGCTTTAAGGTCAATGACAACAACTTGTTCAGGTTTTCTCCAGTTTACATGATCCTTTGAGCAAATGCTGAATGCCCCCCCCCCGCCCTGCTTTGATACGGGGCAGGAAATATAACTTCACTCTGTACACAAGTTTTCTTGACCTTTTTTGCTAGACTTGAGAGGAGTGAAGAGTTAGTGATTTGTTAACGGTATATTCCTAATCAAATCTGGTCAATTGCACATGCAGTTCTATCCCATAGATGTGAACATTTCTTATTCATAATAGTGTATAGTAACAGGATCCTGGAACTCAGAAAGATATACTTTTAAGTATATGTATATATGTGCTGCATGCGGGTGAACAATGATATCAAGGAACCAAAGGCATTACTATCTGCTTACAACAAATAGGACTTGTCACACATGATTGAAATTATGCAACACAATAAATATTATTTTTATTTGGGATCATTGATTTTCATGAATTTGAATTGTCTGTTTATTCTCGCAAGAAGATGATTAGTTCAAATAGTTATAGGATGCAAATATGTGTTGCTCCCTGTAAAATTTAGTTTTCAAGAGATGCTTGACCGTCTGGGCACCGCTGAACCCTAGGCATAATTGCCAATGTTTCAGCCATCATACTAATATCAAGGAATTGTCATAAATGGACAAATAATAGAACAAGTATCTATCAAGTATATCAAGTTAATTACTTGGACAGAGATCAGACGACATGGAAAACAAACTCCAAAAATGCAACAAATAATCAAAAGACAGTTCTGAAGAGTTTCACTAAAGAGACTATATTAAGAATCCACAATATGATCTCTGAACCAGTTCTCATGTATGGTTTGGAAATATGGACAATGAAAAATAGTGAACAACAAAGATAAGGCAGTGCAAATGAGATTTCTATGCGATTTTGCAGAAGTGACTTTAAAGGATAGGAAAAGGATATGATACACATTCTCACTTCAGGGTTTTGCTTCTTAAACTTCCTGTAGTATTATAGTAGTATTATTATGTAGTATATCTGTTAGTAATTAATTATTTTAAGATTGCTGTGCATGTGTTTACATTCAGTGTATGTAAATTTATGAAAAAAATAGTGCTTGAGGTACACCTAAAATTGGTGACATTTGGCAAGTACTCATGGTCTGAAGAATGTTGATGACACCAATTAAGGTTTGGTTTCTTTGATTTCATCTAATTTATCATGATTTCTTACCAGATTTATTTAAGGAGAAAAAATCTGTAACGTTTGGAAAAACAAATAGAGCTTGAAATGAAATTTAACAAAACTCAATACATGCAATGCAAATGGGGAACGCTGTAGGGAGTCTTTAGGAAAATAGTTTATATCTGGAAACTTGTTAATGTAAAGAAGCAAGTTGCTGAAATTCCAGCCTGTCTGATACTAATGTTTTTATTTCCTTACCATGCCTTTTCATGGTGTCTAAGAAGTTGTAAATGAACTGAAAATTGAAAGATAAAAACATCCATTATTTAAATTAACAAACAAATGTACTTTCACAAAAATATTTGCTATAAATTATTAAATGTCAATATACCTTATTATTTTATTGGTCTTGAATATAAAATATGCAGATTATTGAAAGAATAATAATAATAATATAACAGGGAATAACTTTTCATTAATAATAAACAGTGAATAAATTGTCATGTAGACATATTTTTACAAAACAAGGTGTTAAAATATTTTTCAGTTTACAAAACATTCCAATTGAATTAGAACCATTTTTACTTTGTTGCATTCTACATACATAGTGAAGAGAAAGTTATGTAATACTGCAGCGGAAAACGGACATTTTGCTACAGAAAAATTCCCTGATTCTAGAGGATAATTCTTTCTTATATTATTTCCGCTAACATATTGTGTTGTCAGAATCCAAGTTTTGTGTGTTCTTGATAGCGAAAAATTGGTTTCCAGCAAAACATTTATTCATCTGTCTTTGAACAATGCTAGTGACTAAACAGTAAGGAGAATTTTTCCAAAATTGATATTTCTTAGTCCATCTGACTCGTGTTCCAGCACCTTGAATTTGAAAGCAAGTTTTTAATTTTTGGGGATACCTAATGGTACCTACCCTTCGATTAAATTTTGGCCCCCTGATAGTGTAGGCCATTTGAAAAACAGTGTAGGTTGCAGTTTCATTGAAATATCTGTATTTTTGAAAATTACAAAAATCAAAATATTTTCAGTGTCTTCCTGCAACTTCAGTAATGAAGACAGATTTTTGCTCTGAATAAAATATTTTTTTCAAACTTGTGGATTTGTCGTTTAGCAAATGGCAACCCAAATATTAACATGTTCTTATCTCCATATAAATTTAAATGTTCGTTAAAAGTTTATTGTTAAACGATTTTCATTCATTCTCTCTGTAATATTGTACATTTATTGATTCTTTTATTTTGTACCATACTTATTATTTGTATTAACTTTTGTATATATTTTGCTATTGCTTATTACTCAAATAAATAAACAAATTTTTTCAAAATTTGAATAGTGTTTGCGACATTTTGTGTGCAATATGGGCAATATAAAAAAACTAGCTGAAATACCTGGGGTTGCTCAGGTATTTATAATAATTTATTAGCTAGGAAGATGAATTTTATCTTATCCTGCCCTGCGGTTGAGCCTACTTCTATCAAATCTCTTGTATCACAGCTCTGCCCCTCATTGCGGTACTCCCATCTGGAAAAACCAGGTCTTCTCCATTCACTTTCTCACTAAAAAAAAAATCTACTTTTTTCTTTAAACTGTTTGTGTGGATAGTGCTACATGCGCTGAATAACATGACATAAATGTCATTTTAATGTATTATTTAGATTAAAAAAACTTACACTAATGTAATTTTCTTTACATATCACTGATGTTAATATTTACATTGTGTGTTTTTTTAATACATTATTTTATTTGTGAGTACAAGGGCTTCAAATGATGTCTTATGAAGTTTCTTGATAACTCATTGCTTTCTGTGAAAACGAGCTCAAAATTTGTGCATTTGTAGAGCAAATGCAGTATTGACATTTTTTCAAAAACCGTTAAAAAAATTTTCTTAAAACTTTTAGTATGAATAGTGGATTACATTATGTATATGCCATTTTGAAGTATTCTTTTGATTTTTCCAAAACTGGATGAAGGTAATTGTTATAATCGATCTACAGGAATTCTTTCAGCAACTCCAGATTTATGTTGTAGCCTGATCAGAGATGTTCTGTGCTCTGCAAAAGGTTGTATAGAGGAATTTTAAACACTTCAATGAAGTTGGAGGTGTTGAAAAGTTGTTGAAGCCCCTGAATATGTATTTAGTTTTGCCCACAACACTGCCCCATGTATAAGGTTTGCACCAAATGACTTTTTGGAATGATATTACCTAATATTGTTTTAAAAAGTATTTGGAAGTGTTGTTTGCCCCTCTGTAAAGTGATGCTGTACTCACAGCCATTTTATTTTAGGGAAAATAACCTTTTCCAGTTTGACAGCAAATGCTTAAATAGACTTACATTTTCTCACAGTTATAATTAAATCTATGCCAAAAGTTATTTTGTACATCAAAATGCATTTTGAGCAATAAGGTTCACTTGAATTTGCAGAAGAACATTTTAAAACAATTTTTATAGACTGCCCATTGCATTGATATGGTTCCTTTCTACATTATCAAATTATTAATGAGCCATAAAAGCGTACATGTAAGGCAAGTGCATGTTGCACACACTTAGTCATTCTCTCTAGCATGGTGGGTCAGGCCCAACCATTATATATCTCCTGTTAACCCTTTTCCTTCACTAACGGTCAGATACTGTCTCCCATAACTGACTAGAATACCCAAGAAGGGCCAAAGGGTACCTCCAAAAACATCCTTACGGGAGGAATACAGGGAAGACTGATTATTTGTTTCTCCATCTTCCATTCTCTTGTTCTCCATTTCATACTTTCATAAATCTCTTGTTTATTCACTGGCCTTCCCTGAATGCTGAACAACCACCCATGTATTTGCCGTGGATATCAACCTTTGTTGAAGGGAATGGATGCTCTGACTGTTGAGGAATTTGTTTCTTGTTTTCACTCTGGTTCTTCACTTCACAATATGTAAAATTTGGAAATTACTATGAACTGAATTCAGGTTGATAATTGTTATGTGGCCTGCATTCTCTTTCTTCTACCACAATTTGGTTCGCAGCCAAAAAAAAATTGGAGTCCTTTGCTTACAAAATTGTAGACCATTGTACTAATTGTACTCATGAAATGCTTCCAATAGGTGTTACCATGCTCTTGTCACCAGTTAACCTTTTGATTGTACATACTGATTGCTGCCATTTTCTGTATTATTCTGTGGTAAAAATTGCTCTTATGTAATAGAATTTATTACTGGTTAATATTGGTGAAATATTTTTTTCCAGTTATGTGCCACTAAGGAAGCTCGTGAATTTATAAGAAAATGTAATTCTTATATCATTCTTCGAGAATTTCACAAATGGGAGCAAGATCGCAAAGTTCTATTGGCCTGTGAAAATGTAATTGACATCTTAATTCGGTAAGTAATATTCTAGCTAATTTGAAATCAATTTCATGAGCATATAAAACCTCAATTCTCATAATTTATTCTTTATGTATGTAATGTTACCCGAGCTCACGAAATTACAATGTACACGGTGTATAAAGGTAATGATTATTAGGATACTAGATTCTCTGATGACGTTTTATTGCTGGCTTTAGTGCTGTTTTGCGGCTTCTAGTGGATTGTTGAGACAGAATGTGCACCTGATTCAATCTGTGCTAGATTGAGTTGTGATTTTGTGTCCTGTGGAATGCGGATGGTTGCCATTCTTTGTGCAAGTTCGATTGTTGGTGAATTGCATTATTTTGTTTAATCGGATGTGCTTCTAATATAAAACCTGAACATCCAGATTGGAAAATGTTATTCATGTCCTACAATCAATAGGCTGAAAGTTTCACAAGCAAGTTTGAAACTAATACAAAATCCAGTTTCCCAGATCTCCTCAGATGAATATATGTGTGTATTTTAAGCCACCCTAGATTCTTGCACCCAACAGGCTCCATGGATCTGGGGTCAACAAAACGTAAAATCCTCAACAACACACATGCAAGACAATGGACAAAATTGCCTATGCCCAGGGAACAAAATGCCCGATCCATGACCTTTTCAATTAGGCTGTTAAGTTGTTACATGCCATGCCTAATCTAACATGCCTTGAGGCTAGTTATCCCTATTCTTCAAATTTTAATATGTTAAGTTCTTGTTGCAAATCAACAGCAACAGCTGAAAATGTATTAACTCCGAGACAGAACATCGATCGATCCGTCCGTCCGTGAGGACCAGTAGCACCTTAACTGTATGTAGGATTTTCTCTACAATGGATGTTCCCTAGTTGATCTAGCTCAACTCGAGGTGCTTTGATTTTGAAAAACTTTCTTTACATGAAGTCGCATGGACATTTTTAAAATTTTCAGAAAAGTGGCTCCAAATTTTTTTCTTTAAATCTCTTGAAAAAAAGAGGGAAAAAAAGGAGTTAAATATCATGCAACATGTGCAATATTAAAAAAGAAAAAAAAAAGATTATCTCAAAAGCAGCTCCAAAATTTTTTTCTTTAAACTTTTGAAAGAGAGAGTGTAAAGTGTACACAATAAGGTGACATAAACACCATATAGCTCTATTCTTTTATTTGCTTCAAAAATTTCAAAAATGTAATTTTTTACTGTCTCTCATGTTAATATTTACTTAAGCCGTTATACGTACACATTATTACATTTATGAGTACATGTGCTTTAAATAATGTCAGATTGAAATCAATTTCACGAGCATATAAAACCTCAATTCTCATAATTTATTCTTTATGTATGTAATGTTACCCGAGCTCACGAAATTACAATGTACATGGTATATAAGGTAATGATTATTAGGATACTAGATTCTGATGAGCTTCTTATTGCTGGCTTAGTGCTGTTTTAGTGCGGGCTTCTTAGTGGATTGTTGAGACAGAATGTGCACTGATTCAATCTGTGCTAGATGAGTTGTGATTTTGTGTCCTGTTGCGAATGTGGATGGTTGCCCATTCTTTTGTGCAAGTTGGATTGTGGTGAATTTGCATTATTTTGTTAGAATGGATGTGCTTCTAATATAAAACCTGAACATCCAGATTGGAAAACGTTATTCATGTCGTTACTTGAAAATTCAACAATTTTCTATGAAAACTAGCTCAAAATTCTGCATTACCAGAAATGCTGAATTGCCATTTTCTCAGAAACAGTTCCAAGTTTTTTTCAAACTCTTCATATGGATTGTACTAATTGCACTCTTTTAAGATCTCATAAAATTCATTGTAGGACATTCTTTTTATTTTTCAAAAATTACACAAATGTAATTATTTTGTGATATCTTTTTAAAATAATGCACATGCTGTTAATGCACATTTCCAGTGATTTGTATACATTATTGCATTGGTGAGTTAAAGTGCTTAGAATAACTTCAAATGAAGTTTTTTGAAAACAAAAATTTTCTTTGAAAAAGATCTTCAAATTTCTTATTTACAGTAATGCTTAAACACCATTTTCATAAAAACGGCTGCAAATTTTTGAATGAAAATTGTTATTTAGAATGAGGTTATAGTCTTATCTAATATTCTTGAAGGAATATTTTTGGTATGTTATTAAGAAACCAAAGAATTGAGGGGAAGAAAATATATTTTGGGCAGTGGTAGATGGTAGGGGACAAGAGTATGTGGCAAGTCCAATAGCTAGACCAGACCAAAGAAAATAGAAAACTAATACAAGGAGGGCTGTGTCAATCTAACCACCAATAGGTTTGGGTGTCTGGAATGGATTAATTGGATTCACATGATTTCTTTGATGTTTTCTTAGGATTTGTTTTTGACAATTTGCTTTGGTTTTTGTCAGACTGTTTTGAATGCATTAACACTGGTGGTAAACTTCTATGAGATAAGGATTATGAGATATCCAGTTGATAAGAATCTTCCTTTCACACCATACTGAGAGAATTGGAGAGATTATCTGAGAACCAGTCAGTCCGTAGTGATGTTTCTCGCATCTTGTTTCTTGGAACTGGTCTGTTTGTACCAACTACTTACCAACTTTTGCCACATCTTGAGAGGCAATGAGAGCTTCTTTGCCAACACATAATCTCAATAACATTTCTCATTGGTCAGCAGACTGGTTACTAAATGATATGAATGGAGTACTGTGTTGAACTTGAAGTAAGAGGCAATACATATTGCAAAATGCAACTCTTCCAGTAAGTATAAGCACCGAATTCCTATTGTACAAGAGTATAATTCCAATAATTGTCCATACCAAAAAAGTCCAGAAAATAATTATTTTGTAAATGTGTTAAGGTTTGCTGTTGCAAATCATAGTACTCGGACCTTCAAAGGAAGCTAGCACAAAATTTTTCATGAATATTTATTCAACAAATTATTCAGAGACTATTGTGCTGTAACTCAATGCAATTATCTTTTTATACATTAGTGTAGATTAAAACCTAATTTAATGCAATTATATCATTAAAATGTGTAAAACATATTACTTAGCACATGTTTTGTACAACATTTTACAACTATATGTATCACTTTTATACAAAAGGCTCACTTTGTTATCATGTTCTGTAACAATATTACTGTTAATTAGTTTGCATTGTTTTACATTGATTACTCTCTGTCATATTGAAAACTGTCTTCAGTCTTAGTTTACTTGGGTGTATTTGTACCTGCTGTTCCTTCTTCACGTTACATTGCGTAGTGAGAGGCAATTAGTCTTGTTCTTCATAAAAATATCTAGAAGTTTTATTTTCTTAAAATTTATTCTACATTGTTTTTCAGTTTTCTGTTTTGCAATGGATTTTTCTTTCTCTGCTAGTATTTTGATATTATTTTAATGCTTATCAATTCTTTTTTGTACTTTTCTGTTTATTTGCCCTATGTACTTCATATAAGTCGTGGCATTGAATTTCATTTATATTTTCGATGTCTTTAAAATCTACTTTCTCTTTGTGGTTGTAAAATAGTATGGGAAATTTTAAATCTTCAAAATTATCCATATAGATTCAGTAATAAAGTAATAATGAAAAGACTAAAGTATAAGTTAAACATAAATTCAGTAGAGACAGAAAAAGATAAAATCAACCGAATAACATTGCGATATTTATCGAATATAACAACGAAAATAAGTAAGTGGCATAAAAATTGAAGATCAACACAGTAGACAAAATGAACAATAAATGAAAGGTGGTAAAAGAAAACAGTCTGTAAAAAACCACAAAGGAAAGTTTATTTTATAAACAATGTATGACCGTCCTGTAAAACCAAATATAGGGTGTAATATAAAATAAAAAGTGAAACAAATTGTTAATATTCATAATATATGGATTGACATTTTATTTTGTGTAATATCAGTGTACAAGAAATATAAATGAATCCATTATAGTATTTATTGGAAAATTAAATTCAAAATAGTACTTAATGAAAGGAGGTATTAATTTACAATACCATTACAATTGTAGATGAGATGCTACAAAATTCATTTTAAGTACTTTCAGACTTGTTATCCTGTAGTGTTATTTTATTTAAGGTTCCTTATGTGCTTGGTTTGCATCAATTAATTTATTTACTTACTTTTTTAAATTATTTCCAGAACGGAGGATGAAATTGGTCAGGATAACCTGCAAGATGTTGATGTGCCTGATGACCTCCGTAATAGATTTCATAAAATGGATGAGGATTTTCTAAGGGACTAATCCATTGCTGGCAGTTTGAACACATTTTCTGTTTATGTCTGATGCTTTACTTTCCTCTTAAGTGCATGTTTTTGTTTTTGTCTCTTGTGGAGGAACCTGATTTGTAAAGTTTTATTGCAAGTTGGTAAAATATCATGTTGAAGTTATTGTTATTCTAATTTCACTTGTTCACAGCAAAATGTAATTGTTTTTCTACATGAAGGCAATTGTGATGAAATCTAAAACAGATGCCTTAATATAAATTAAATTTCAGTTTAGCAACGTTTACTTGAGTAAAGTTAATTTAATAATGTTAATGTAAAAAAAAAATATATTGGCAATTATCTATATTAATGTGAAAAGTTTTAATAATGCCTTTTTATTCAAAGTGGAAGGTTTATCATGTCATTTCTGAGGTGTTACATGAGAAATATGACAGAATAAATATTAAGGATGTCGGAAAAAAATTATAGTTTCCTGTCATTCTGAATCTTTTAAATAAAAGTGAAATGTATAAAGAATTGTAAAAACTGTTTCTTAACCTACAAAAGAAACTCAACTTTTTCATTGAGAGGCATCAAAAGTGAAGTAAGCGAGTAATATCTTTTCAGGGCTCTTACTGAAGACTGTTTCTTATCAAAGGAGATACTTTTAATAAATTATTATTAATTGAAGTGGTGTATTCAAAAAGTAAAATTTAATTTTAAAATAAAGGTTAATCATTGTGTATTTGAAATGACGCAAGTTTTAAAACCTGATTGTTATTGCTTAAAAATTTGAAAATAAAAATAAATTATGTTTTGTCTTTTTTTTTATTCTTCATGGGAGTCTTAGCATGCTTTTAAAAACATTTCAGTATTGTTTGCATTCCTTTTTTACAGTTCCTTTACAGCAAGAGCGAAAATTGGTTGAAATGTAATCTCCTCACTTATTTTCCGTGGCGTCCACGCCTAGTGAACTTAAAAATAACAAAGAATTATCATAAAATTTTGTTACTTGTCTGGGAGAAAATATTCTCTTGCCTGTAACATTACATTTGTTTTTTGTTTCTTATTATACATTGTTTTGAAAGTGTTAACTATTTCTGGTTTTTTTTTCTCAGTGAAGTTTGTTTTAAAATGATGATTTATCAAAATAATTTGATATAATCTATTGGAATTGATATTCAAATACGTTGATTATCCTTGTTATTCAACAGTATGTACATTATATTTTAAGGAAGAATTGTGGGATTTTGCCATTGATGATATTGATACAATCAGAATTTTTTGTGAATAGGAATGTATTGTTATTTTCATGGTCATTTGGTATTAAAAAGGAAAAGAGAATGTCTTCTGTTTGCATGTTTACTTCATTATTAGATCTTTCCCTGATCCAACAAGCATCCAGTCTTACCCACATCCAATGTTTACCCACTTGCAGGTTCTTCAGAAATGTAGCCCTTGTGGAAATTTGAAAATGTGGAGCCCGTTGTACCAATTTTGTTGGCAAGAGTGCAACATCTTTGTATTTATGGGTTGAGTGTATTTTAATTCTAGTTTTAATAACTAGGGATTCTAGCGCAGAATTGATTATGAGCGGAGTGCGCTGTGCATTTGTTCGCCATCCTCACCACTAGTTGTAATCATACAGCCAACCTCTGAGTAAGAAATATGAAACGGGAATGGATAGGGAGTTACTAACTATTCGACACAATGTTAAATATTGAATTGAATTATTTATTCAGGTCCAGGGTACTATCTTCTATACCAAACGCCCGAGAGAAAATATTGCGAGTAGTACATAAAGGACATTGGGCATGTCAGGATGAAGCAATAACTTTGGAGAAAATATTGATGGAAAACAATGGATAAAGATGCTGCAAAGTGGGTGAAAACTTATCTTTTGAATCAGAATACCTCTCTTCCAGATTCTCTGGGATCAATGACGAACTCAACTGCCAGAAAAACCGTGGCAACAAATTTCCATTGCCAAGGACCAATACCATCAGGACATTATCTATTAGTTGACTTCGACTATTACAGTCATTATTACAAGGTGGAGATTATACGGATGGTGGCAACAAATGATATTGTACCTAGACTGCAGGTGATCTTCGCAAGGTTCGGATTCCCTGAAGTTCTAATTAGTGACAACGCTGTGACATTCAAAACGTGGGGTTCGATATATTTCTCCGAGAACATTGAGGGGAACACCGATTTACGACACAGTTTTGGCTATAAGCAAATGGAGAAGATGAGAGACAAAACAGACAAATCTTGAAGAGTCTTCGCATTGCTCAAGCCGAAGGTTTAACTCAAAAGGACGAATTATATTCTTACTTTTTGGCTTATCGTGAAACGCCACATTCGACTACCGGAATCGCACCTGCAGAACTCATGTTTGGCTCTACATTTCCTGAAATCAGCATCTGAAGGAAGGGACACCTCGATGAAGAAATGCGTGACCAAGATAGGGAGAAAAAAAAAGGAAAGAGATATGCAGATACTCGTCGAAACACAAGACCAAATAAAATAGATCAAGGCGACCTGGTGCTAGTAACTCAGAGGAAGCAAAATAAACTTTCAACGCCTTTCAGTCATGTGCCGATGAAAGTAATGGAAAGAAAAAGAAAAGATTCGGCTGTGTTCGAGACACCAGACGTTGATTGCTATGAAAGGAACACTGCATTCTTTAAACAATTTGCTGGAAGAGATCCAGGACCTCAACAGGCAGATGTGGCCAGAATGGAGCAGTTTTCAATAACTGACACACCAGAGATGCTCACGGTTGCAGTGAGCAGTTAACACCAACGAAGATTCCAGATGCATGGAGTTCACCAGCCCGCGATGATCGACGGAGGCGACGAGGTCGAATTGAGAAAAAAACAATCTGGATGAAAGATTTTGTTTGTAATTAGTTTACTTTTTTCAGTCAAATTTAAATGCCTAGAATTAGGGTTTGTTCAGTTATTTATCAAGTAAATCTATAGGGTTTAGTTTATTTTTGCATCATCAAGGATTTAATACATTGCTATTTTGTTAAAAAAAATACAACTTATTTAAAGACTGAAGAAAGAAGAGATTGTCGTGTTTAGGTTGGCTTACCTATATGTGGTATGTAAGTAGTTTGGTGTGCAAAATAAACGGATGGCAGCAGCCAGGTAACGTAACGAACTGTTTGAATTCGAAATTACGCAGACCGAATTAGATGTTTTAAACACGTTCCGTGGCAACTGACTTCTGATAAAGCACTCTGCAGGTGCCTATATGTGACTACCTACAACACGAATTGGTGAATACAATACACAACTACGACTGTTCCTTATAATAAATCTTTCTGAGTATAAAGTCTATTTCAAATTTCACTTAACATTCAAAAATACGTTTAACATCTTCAGATTACTGACATTAAACTATGAAAATATCAAACCCAATTCCTGTATTACCCGCTCTAATTGAGATTACATTCCCGATCCTAACACTGCGCGTCCTACTGATGATCATACCGTATTAGCCGATGTGATTTCGTCGACCGCTGGCGATACAAAGAGACTGAATACCAAACATTTCACCTTACTATGCCTAACAATGCCTCCAACACACATTCTCCACAGGGTGGTTCAGTCCTCGTTAATACAGAACCCGGTGATAGAGTGTACCAACTTATTCATGAATGCAAAAGGTAATAGTGTAAACCCTACTAAAAATTTTGAAGGAAAAAAAAATTGTCATTGGTTACAAGAAAGTTAGTCCAAACATTACATTAAATATTGTTTCCTGTTGCTATTATTGCATATTTATCTAATGAATATGAAAGGAGAATGAAAAAAACCACTAATATTTAAGTGTTATTTAGGATAGTTTATCGTATGCAGCCGTATATCGCATTTTCCCCTCTTGTAACAGGGGCTCTAGAAGTATTCAAAATGGCGTGAACGCTAGGTTAGGCATCTGTGATGCGCACAACTTTGCAGGGTTGTGCCTTATATCTGCCGCCACGCTTTCTTTGCGCCAAAGCAGGTCATCACGATCCTCGACTTCGGTAGCACAGATGTTTTTCATTAACCCCCAGCTCCAAAAGCGTTGGGAGTACCTGAGTTATAAAATTCAGATACTTAACGCCTCTTAAACGCTCGAATAAGAAGGACCGAGTACCGAGGATAAATTCATCCCCGATGTCCACCGACACATTTACAGAGAATCGCTCTTGGTGAATTACACTACGTGCAAAATGTGGAATTCCTCGACCCTCGCGGGCAAATTGTGCGCATTAATTGCGACAGTTCTTGTAAAACACGCTTCATCTGACCAAAGAACGAAATTTCTAGTTTTGTTGATGTTTGAAAATTGAAAACTATGTTATAAGTGTCTACTGCGTAAATGCTGGATCTGCTGAAAATGGAAAAGTAATTTCTCCACATGGATTGTTCGATTGTTCGCCAGACGAGGGGCTGTGATACTTTGACCTCGCGCGTGGTGCGCGGTTTCAGAAGTGCTTGGTTTTCTTTGTATTTGCGCAGGAAATGACTCGAGAGTTCAGAACGAACGAGAAACCTCTATTGATCTGGGCATGTGAAGTTTATCAATTTCACTCAAATTCAGCCTTCTTTAGAGCTACAATGACTGATTGTCACTTTTTTCTCTTAATATACTTTCATAAAATAAAAATATTGTCAAAAAAGTTGGAATGTGTGGGTTCTCAAATTTCGGAATGAATAAATTTGTGCGATAAGTCAATTCAGAAACAAGGTGGTTGAACGAACTGGGAGGATATCACAATTTCTACGTTTAGATGTCGCAGCTTTTAACACATATCACTTGTTTTCGATGTACTACAATTTTCAAGGCAGCGCTTACAATAAAGAAAATACATTTTATTGCCTGGAACCTAGAGACAGTGGCACTTTGTGGAGAATGTAGGGAATAGGGAATATATTAACACACTCACAAAACACAGAAATGGATAGAAAATCTCATGAATCTTTCTTTGTAAGATACAACGCGATCAATAAGGCAGTGATAAAAACGAATGCGAGTGCAGAGCCGCCGACGTCAAGAGCTGAGCTCATTTAGCGTTGCGATCGTTCAGACGCGCTCGTTAGCAAGCGCGACTTGTCATCGCCTCTCGAGAGGTCTATAAATTGACCTGGGCCTTGTATCAATGGGAATCAAGAAACCGCCATAATTGCACGATTATCGAGGAAAAAAAAAAAAAGTACTCGCGTCGCCTCATTAGACATGGCAGCAATATTGCAGAAAGCTTTTGTTGAAGATTGTTCTAGCAACGTGAATACATTTCAGTCCTGAAACGAGATCTTATAATTCCAAATTGGAAAAAACAAACAAACAAAACAAAACAAAAACAACCACTTATGAAAGGTATTAATCTACCATAAAACACTAAGGTTTTATTTGTTTGTTCAGGTACGTGTTTTTATACGGATATTCATAAATATTGCATTACTTACTTTTATTAATAAATACACGTCATCAGGTTCTGACACCATACATGTATTTATCTCTTCTTTTGTAAGAATTTTGGATTTTTTAGGTTTATATGTTCCTAACTTCGCGCTTCAGAAATTATTTAACTCTCTGATACTGTCCGACATCTATGTTTTCTTTTATACCTAGGGTTGGCTTTAGTATTGAAAATGCTCCATAATGTTGACGGTTTCACTGTCTAGGACTATTGTACAAATAAAGTTAGTTATCTTACCCAATTAAATTAGCTTTACTTATAAAAGTGTAATACCTTTTCATAGAGATGTGCCAGCGTAGTTGTTTCATTTACCATGGTTTGTGTTTCTCAATTTCCATTTCAAAATGAGTTCATACTCTCTTTAGTACGAATCCTTTGATTTTTGAGAAAGTGAACTCAGCAGCATCTTCAGCTTCCTTAATTATAATATTTGGAATATCGCATTCCATACTTACGAAAGAAATCGCC